GCCTTGGATCTCTGCATCCAGATTCCTCAGTCCTTGGATGGGTTTCTGGCATGACTATTAGGGTGTTTGGCCATCCCATCACCAGAGTAGGTCAGTCCTGGCTGTCTCTCGACCATTGCCAGCCGTCTATTGTGGGGGTACCTTTGTGGATTTCTGTGGGCCTCTCTAGCACTTTGTTTCTTCCTATTCTCGTGTGGTCTTCATTTATCATGGTCTCCTATTCCTTGTTCTCCCTCTCTAGTCTTGATCCAGCTGGTAAGATTTTGGCCTCAGCACTCCAGGATCTTGTTGCCGGCACCTGCGGCACGCGCCTTGCCCAGCTGGTTACCCTCCCTATGCTTTCCTCTGATAACCCCGTCAGTCCGCCCAGCCCCGAGGAACTTCTCAGATTGACTCATCGGAGGCTTATTAGGTTCAGCCTATTTCCCACTCTCGACCCACACTACCCTTAAGCTAGATGGCAAAAAATTCCAGGGAATTCTGGATACTGGCGCTGACGCCACTGTGATCTCCCAAGACCACTGGCCTGCCTCATGGCCCCTCATGCCCTCCCTCACCAACCTCAAGGGCATAGGTCAATCCAACAACACCCTCCAATCCTCTAAAGTTCTGACCTGGTCAAATGAGGAGGGTAACCAGGGTACTGTCACCCCCTTTGTGGTCCCTGGGCTCCCTGTCAACCTTTGGGGCCAAGATATTCTCTCCCAAATGAAAGTCATCCTCTGTGGCCCAAATGAGGTGGTTACCCAACAAATGTTACGCATGGGCTTCATCCCAGGAAAGGGTCTCGGTAAACTTCAACAGGGCCGAACCCAACCCGTCACTCCTGCTAATAAGACAGACAGGCTCGGTCTTGGCTTTGAGTGTTTTTAATTGAGGCCACTGCTCCCCCTGTACACCATGCAGACAAAATCACTTGGCTTACCCATGAACCTGTGTGGGTAGACCAGTGGCCTCTGCCACAAGAGAAACTACAGGTGGCGGAGATGTTGGTACAGGAACAGCTCGCCGCCGGTCATATTGAACCATCCAATTCCCCCTGGAATACACCCATCTTTGTCATAAAGAAAAAATCTGGGAAATGGAGACTCCTCCAAGACCTGCGAGCCATTAATAAGCTTATGCAGCCCATGGGTGCCCTCCAACCAGGCATGCCCTCACCCATCGCCATCCCCAAGGCCTATCACAAAATGGTTATCGATTTAAAAGATTGCTTCTTTACCATCCCCCTATATCCCAATGATTGAGCTTATTTTGCCTTTAGCCTCCCTCGGGTTAATTTTCAGGACCCCATGCTCTGCTTCCATTGGCGCATCTTACCCCAGGGAATGGCAAATAGCCGGACTCTATGCCAAAAGTTTGTGTCTCAGGCGGTCAATCCCATAAGCCAAAAATGGCCCTCTACTTACATCTTACATTACATGGATGACCTTCTTTTGGCCACCCCTAGCTCCTCCATCCTAGAAGCAACCTTCCAAGATCTGTCACAGGCCCTTTGTGCTGCTGGCCTACAGCTCGCCCCTGATAAGATCCAGCGCTCGTGCCCTTTAGTTATCTGGGCCTTGAATTGCATTCCAATCGAGTCTTGGTCCAGCTGCGCACAGATAACCTTACCACCCTTAATGATTTTCAAAAACTTCTCGGGGACATTCAGTGGCTTCGACCATACTTAAAACTCCCTACTGCTGATCTTCTACCCCTCTATGACATTCTTCGGGGCCCCAGTGAACCCACCTCCCCCCGTCAATTGACCCCAGCTGCCCATAAGTTCCTGTCATTAATCACCAGGGCCATTTCTTCCCAAGCCTCTTTTCAGATTGTTTACTCCCTCCCACTGGTTTTTGTTGTCTTATCTACTCCCCATGTGCCCACCGGGGTCCTTTGGCAAAGTTCCCCTTCCACATTAAGGGCCCAGGATAAACTTAAGGGTCACTCCCTCTTATGGATTCATATGCCTGCCAGTCATACGAAGGTCATTCCCACCTAACCCCAACTTGTTTCTTCCCTAATCATGCGCAGTCGCCAGACCTCGCGTCAGATCTTCGGTAAGGACCCCGATTCCACCCTAATCCCCTACCCCCGCGAACAAACTCAATTTTTGTTTCAGACACTGGATTGTTGGGGTGTTGCCTTCTCGGGGTTCCTGGGCCTTCTTGACAATCACCTCCCCGATGACCCAGTCCTTCATTTTGCAAGCACTCATCCCTTTATTTTCCCAAAAGTCATTTCCCCAGCCCCTTGCCTGATGCCCCGGCCGTCTTTACCGATGGGTCAGCCAATGGCACTGCAGCTTATGCTTTTCAAGGTCACTCGTTCCCCTTTCCTTCGCCCTTTCGTTCAGCTCAGCTGGTTGAACTCTTTGCTGTTCTGCAGGTTTTTCAGGATTTCCAGGATTCCCCCCCTTACACTGATAGTGCGTACATCGCTCCTCCAATTCCCCTTCTTGAGACAGCCCTCTTCATTAAACCCACCTCCAATGCCACTCCCCTTTTCACTCAAATCCAACAAAAACTTAGAGAATGCTCCCATCCTGTTTTCATTGGCCGCATTCGTGCTCATGGGGAGCTTCCTGGCCCCCTCACAGAGGGAAACGCTCTGGCTGATACAGCCACTCGCCAGGTTTTTCCAGTCCTACAAGAGCCCATCCTGTCGGCTTCTCGCGCCCACCGCCTCCACCATCTTAATGCCAAAACCCTTCGGTTAAAGCTCAAAATCACAAAACAACAAGCTAGAGAGATAGTTAAACAATGCCCTTCTTGTATAGTCTCCCATCCCGTCCCCCATGTTGGAGTTAACCCCCGTGGACTCCTGCCTAATATGACTTGGCAAATGGGTGTCACACATGTTCCTGACTTCGGCAGACAAGAATATCTTCATGTTTCTGTTGACACGTTCAGCGGATTTATTTTTGCCTCCCCTCACACTGGTGAGGCCGTCAAGGACGTTATCACTCACCTCCTGGTCTGCTTCTCTACCTTGGGTATCCCAAAACACACAAAAACAGACAATGGCCCAGCATACACCAGTGAAGGACTTAAGCGGTTCCTCCAACAGTTTGAAATCTCTCACACTACTGGTATCCCTTACAACCCTCAAGGTCAGGGCATTGTAGAACGGGCCCACCAGACCTTAAAAACATGGCTCTCTCGATTAAAGATGTCCAAGCTTTCCTTCGTCTCCCCCCGAGACCGCCTGAGCCATGCCCTCCTTGTTCTTAACCTCCTCACCCTGGATGGTGAAGGTCGATCAGCGGCTGACCGCCATTGGCACCCCGCAGCAGACACCAGCCGCCCTTTGGCCATGTGACGAGACCCCCTTACAGGCGTTTGGAATGGTCCAGATCCTGTACTTATCTGGGGCCATGGCTCCGCTTGCATCCTTGACCAGGCACATGGCGCCCCCACACTGGCTCCCTGAGAGCCTGGTCTGTTCTGTAAATTTACCTAACATACCCAGGGGATTGACTGCCCCGCCCCCCCCAGGACCCTCCTTCTTCTCTTCCAGATGCTAAAGCCACCATCAAAGACCGAGACCCCAAAGAGATGGAGATCACGTGACCACGAAGCTGCCCATCGTGAGTCAGCTGGCTGTCTGGGGTCTCATACTCCTCCTTCCGAGCCACAGCCTCTCTAGCCTACCCCAAAACACCAATCGCCACCAGCCCTTAAACCATACCTAACACGTGCTGACAAGATGTCATCTGGCAAACTTCCCTAGTCACCCATGCCCCCTGATGGCCTGACCTTTATCCCCAACCTTTGTAAAATGGCTGCCTTAACATCCCCGATTGTCATGTTGATGATCAACCCCCTACCAGAAGGGCTCCTGAGCTTTTTGATTCTTATCACAACCCCAGGCCTCGACCCCCCAGGGTGTGCAAATCAGGCCCAGAGAAAAAAACTTGCCACCCTCCATTTTTATGTCTGCCCTGGTCATCATCGGCCTTGCAATCTTCTCCACAAATGCGGGGGAACCGGAGATCTTTTTTTGCAAGTCCTGGGGATGTGAAACTATGGGCAATGCCTATTGGCACCCCTCTTCTTCTTGGGATTTTATTACTGTTACCAGTAATCATTCCATTGGGCATATTAATACTTACCATGGCACCCCTGATTGTTCCTCCTGGTGCCACCCCCTAAAAGTTACCTTCACGGAGGCCGGGAGAGCTCATTCGGCCTGGGAGGCAGGCCTCACTTGGGGCCTTCTCCTATTTCAGGAGGGAAGAGATACAGGCGTCACCTTTATCATCAAGCTTTTAAACAGCCTGTCAATCCCCTAACCCTGTTGCCATCCGTCCCAACTCTCTTCCCGGCAACCATGATTTTCCTACAACCAATGTATCTCAGACACCCACGGGTTTTTCTCCCACGTTCCCACCTCCCCCACCAACCAAAGATACAATTACCACCCTTATCACAAAAACCTACCAGGTACTTAACACCTCCAAGCCTGATTTGGTTGACTCCTGCTGGCTTTGCTATCATTCTGCCCCCCCCCATTTTATGAAGGAGTGGCTGTTTAGATTTCTCCCTAACCACTGACCCACACGATTGTCGCTGGCAACAGCCACCCACATCTCGCCTTACATTCTCCCAAGTTATGGGCTCAGGCCACTGCCTTGTCACCCAAGGCACTACCATTCCCTCATTTATCAACCCTCTTGTAATATCACAGATAACCTAAATGCCTCCCTTAAGTCTGGATATCTTCTCCCTGCCAATGATACTTGGTGGGCCTGTACTGATGGCCTAATACCATGTATTTCTCTTCATTTAAATAATCCCTCTGCCCCCTTATTCTGTATTTTGGTTCAACTTATCCCTAGGCTAACCTATTATTCCCCAGACCAATTCTCGGGAAGATGGGAAGAGAAGACTCTGGCAGAGACGGCTGCCCTTGCCCCCCCCCTCCATCGCTCGAAAAGGAAACCTGTGACCACGGTCACTCTGGCCATCCTCCTGGGGGTCAGGGCTGCAGGGGCCGGTATGGGCTTAGCTTCCCTGGTTTTATCTAATCAACATTATTCAGAGCTTAGAATTCCATAGATGAAGATATAGCGCAGCTTGAGCGAGGCATTTCTGCCCTTGAATCCTCCCTCACCTCCCTTTCAGAGGTGGTCCTCCAAAACCGCCGAGGGCTCGACATCCTCTTTTTACAGCAAGGAGGTCTGTGTGCTTAAGGAAGAGTGCTGCTTTTATACTGATCACACAGGAGTAGCAAGGGATAGCATGGCCAAGGTCTGTGAAGGCTTAGAGAAGCACAAAAAAGAAAGAGATGAAGAGCTAGGCTGGTTCCAAACTTGGTTCTCTGCATCTCCCTGTGTAGCTAGACTTTTCCTGCCTTGCCCACAGTCAGGACAAATCTTTGTCACCCACCAGACCCACAGCCGCTCAGACCCAACCAAGTAAACACAGAGACTTATTTTGCTTACAAACTGCATGGCTGTGGCAGGCTTCTTGCTAACCATTCTTATATCTTAAATTAATTCATTTCCATAAATCTATACCTTGCCACGTGGCTCGCGGCTTACTTTACATCTTCCCTGTCCTGGTGGTCCTGGCGGCGGCTCCAGGCAGTCTCCTTCTGCCTTCCTGTTCTTTTAGTTCTTTTCTCTGTTAGTCCCGCCTATACTTCCTGCCTAGCCACGGACCAATCAGTATTTTATTTATTGACCAATCAGAGCAACTTGACATACAGACCATTCCCCAGCACAGCCAAGTGCAGACCATCTCAGACACCTGCACTCAGGCCCGTGGTCCTAATCATCCTCTATGCGGACCTGCTGGGTAAAGCCACGAGGAACCTGAGAACGGGTTTCCACAGGACATACAAAACATCCTACAGCATCCCTGGTTAACCACCCTCCTGCCGTCCTTTCTGGGACCCTTGGTTGGCCTCATTCTTGTCTTGACATTCAGCCCTTGGGCCTTGTCTCGACTAACTCAATTTGTGTGCAGTCAGCTGGCCGAACTTCAGGCAAAACAAATTCAGGTTCATTACCATCGCCTTGACCTCCATGATCACGGTCTCGATGAACCAGATAAAGACTCCATATTAGCACAGGCCCCTCTGCTCAGGGGAGGATGCACCTGTGCCTGGGAGCTGGAGCCCACTGCATAGGGGATTGAGGGTGCAGCCGGGACTGCAGAAGGCAGGGAGACTAAAGTGCTCCACCACCCTGCGTGCCTTGGATGACATGCTCTATTGCATGGTGGTTATGCAGACCCTATACACTTTCCTCCCGGATTCAAACCCACCCCCTGTAAAAAACTGCATCGTTCCAGCTTCCTTCGGGACATGTGGGGACACCTACATGGACCAATCATTAACAATAAAACTTATCAGTGATAGAGCCTGTCACCCCTCCCCTGTCACGGCAAAACATTTGGGCCTCCTTTCTTTGTCTTGCTATACGTATAGAAGGGGGAGATGTCAGGAACCAAACATGAACCATGGAAAAGTACTAGCTAGGCCAAAGAACAAGCCACAGGCCCTAAACCAGATGCCCCCAAAGATAAAGAACATCCCATGGTCAGGTAGCATAGCAACAGAACAATGGGCCCTGACCTGTGTGACCTTATCACCTAGCACAACATCCTGCAGCTTCACAACTTGCACGTCTCCCTTCACCTGCACGTCCGGCACGTCGTGTACCCCTTCCCTCCTTCCTGCCCCCTCCCCATCCCATGCTATATAAGCCTTACTGAGGAGAATAAAATTTGCAGCTTGATCAGAACTCTGTCTTGCTGTCTTCCTTCGTGTCTCCCGTCCCTTTCATTCTCTGCCGTAGGTGGGTCGCCCCCGTTGAGACCCCACTGGCTGGGGCAGTTTCCCTCCCTGTGACTAGTGTCAACAGCCACTGCACCTAAAGGAAACCACTGGAGGTGAAGTGCAGTGATGCCCTGCCCTGAGCAGGAGACACCTCACTCGTCCCTCCCTTTCTTCCTGATGGCCTCTTTGCCTCCCGCGCGCGCGCACACACACACACACACACACACACACACACAATAAGAGTGAAAGCCAGGAATTCCCAGCACAACAGCTATGCCCTTGCTAGCTCCTGGCTTTAAGGACAAACTCTTCTGGAATCCTTGACTTTCAGGAATTATGAGAAGTGAGGAAGTCCATTTGCTTCTCAGGCCCCAGCTTCTCTGCCCCATTACTGGAAGGCCCAGTTCAAGCCTACCCCCTCCAGGAACCTCCCCATCCCCTTCCCAGAACTCACTGTGCCTTCCCCAGAACCATTTCTTTCTCCGAAGGCCAGCTTCCTTCTGCCTCTCTCTGGTATTTCCATGCTCTCCATTCTCTCTCCCAAATAGCCTGCTCAGCCTTGCCAACATGTCTACAGGTGAGCCCGACAGGCACTGAACTAACACTCCACAGGCAGTTGGTGTCACCAAAACACCAGTGACATCACAGAAGAGCTCCAGGATACAAGAGATTGTCCAGGGAAGGGACTGCTGATGATGTCACTGGCCACTGCACTGCCCTGCCCAGCTCTCCCCAAATTGACCAGAAGCTGAGGTTTCCTTTCTAGAAGGAAACCCTTCAGCCCCTTCCTCCAAAGCTAGAGAGTTCTTTCTGCTTCATTAGGAGTCAAGTGCTTTGGATGGGTGAAGTCGGTTGGGCCTTGGCATGGATAGGAGCTTTCTATTAGGACTCAAAGGCCTAGGGACCTAGGCAGGGGTGGGGGTGGGCTTCTGGATAGTAAACCTATCCCCAGTGTCCGTTCCTGTGGCACACAGTCCAATTCCCCAGATTTTCCCTGTTTCCCAAAGGCCAGTATCTTTCTTCCAGACCTTTAATTTTTATGGTCATTGGATTATGTTTTCATATTATGCATTCTTTGGGATGGGGCTTTCTATATATTCATCTGTGTGTTCTCAGGAAGTCTCTGTTTTACAATCCGATTTTTTTGCAATGGAAACTCCCTTGTTCTTGGCAACTTAGGTGGCCCAGCTGCAAGATATGCATAGAATTGTAAACTCTGTATTCCTACCTCAAAAGATAAACCCCCACATCCTCCCTTTCACCGATACAACCAGACACACAAAGTGAGCATCAGTGAGCAAAGAATCAGGACAGAATATGGGTTGCTGGTCTGTGATCACATCAGCTGCCACCTCCCCTGTGTCTGTCTTCCTCAGTTCTCAGGTCCAGCCCTGAGGATGGTAGTGGTTGAACCATAATCCTGTATTGGCACCAAACATCAGACTCAGGAGGAGGGGCAGGGAGTGGAAGGGCCTGAGGTCCAATAAAACCAAGGCTAGCAAGGTGGTTTGCACCTTAGACTGCAATCTTTTGATCCCAAGCCGTTTATTTTGACATATTTAAGCACAGTGCAACTTTGGGAAAAAAAGTTTCCTCATGACAATTATCACAATAAAGCTTAAGGTACGACTATATTGAAACTCCCTTGCAAAGTACATGTCTTTTTCAAAGCATTCATGACCTCTTTCCTAAGGCTGGGTTTTATTGGCTGAGAAACCATGCTCAGGATAAGGGTCTAGGGAGGAAGGGTCTGGGATAAGCATAATGGTAAACTCTTTTGCAAAGTACATGGGTCCTCTCATTCATAAGGTTGGGTTTTATTGACTGACAAAGCTCAGGAGTCTGGGGCATTTGGGTGAAGCCTGGCCCCACAGATATGAAAAGATCACTAAGTTGTTAACTACACCCAATCCCAGATTTCCGGGCAGAAATAGTTGTAAATCCTTCCCATCAAATAGAAAAGCCTGCGAGTTTAATGTAGGTTTCCCTACTTCTGTCTGTGAGCATGAGGACTTTGTGCCCTCTACATGGTGGTAGCCTTGCATGATGGTTAATATCAACGGTCAACTTCACAAGATCTGGAATCCTCTGAGAGATGAGCCTCTGGACATGCCTGTGTGAGATTATTCTGATTATGTTACTTGTGGTGGGAAAACGCACCCACTGTGGGTGGCACCATTCACTAGGCTGGAATCCTGGACTTTGTAAAAGGAGAAGGGGAGCTGAGCACAAGCCTTTGTCTCCCTTTGCTTCCTAACTGCAGATTCAACGTGACCAGCTGCCTCGAGTGTCTGCTGCCATGACATTTCCATCTTGATGGACTGTATTCCAGAACTATGAGACATAATAAACCCTTCCTCTCTTTTCTAAGGGTATTTTATCACAGCAACACGAAAAGACACTAAGTCACTCTGGTTTTGAACTCCTGACTTCCAGAACTGATGCTGAAAATCCTGTATTGCTTAAGACATCCAGTTTATGGTACTTTGCTGTGGCAGCTCCAGCAAACTGACGTGGGACTTCTCAAACGGCTGTTACTCACACATTTGCTGAAGCTTATTTGAGGGAGGGTAATTTCAGCTCCTGCTGATGGGGGAATCTGTTGCTTTCCTCTAGAATGCACCAGACTCATGTCTTAGCTGTTTATATAAGGGCTTTTTAACTTCCCATAAAGATGAACACCTCATGAAGAGGTCCCAGATGTCCAATATAATCCAGCCCTTTCCACCCCACACCAGCTGTCTCAAAGTCCTGATGACTCAGAAGCTCTTGACCTCATTTTAGCTTACTGCAGATCTGCTTTTCCTTGGAATTAGAGAATGCTGTTCTAGTGGGGGAGGGGTAGACTGTGACTTACAGCAATGCCTGAGCATTACCATAACCACTGGAGCTTTGTGAAGACAACCTTGCTTGGGTCCCAGTCCTCTAGAAAAACCTTGTGAACGTAACATTGTCAACCACCTTGTTAGACAAACAAAACTTATCTTGGTTAAAACATATTTTCCTAAGTCAGGTGCAGATAGATGAATACTGCATCTGATGTTCCCACATCCCACATCCCACAATAGATGTTCCCACAGTGGAAACTCAAAAGTTGATCTCACAGAAATAGAAGGGCCAGGGGTGGTCAAGGTAGGATGCTGCCTAGTGTGCTTAAATCCCTGGGCTTCCCTCTCCAGTGCCACCTACTACATAAGTAGACAGCAGATGAGTGGTTGCCAGATCTTGGGACAAATGTCCGAGGGTAATGGTGGACACAGGGTTGCAGAGTCAGGTAAGAGAGATCATCTCATTCTATATAATAACTGGTTGATGGCAATTAACCAAGTATCTCAACATAGCTGCTAAAGAGGAATGTTTGAATGTTCTCAACACAAAGAAATGATACCTGTCTTACATGCCAGTTACCATCGACTTCATCAATATGGTCTTACCACTGAGTTCTGGAAGGCAATCAAGAGCAATGGCAATCGTCTTTAATGTTTGGAGAGTGTCTATGGGACCCCAATGATCAACAACCCAAAAAAAGATAATCCATACCTGGCACTGAGCTTTTTATTTGGTAATCTATAGTGTCTGTTGTCACCCCATAACAGGGTAACTTCCTCTAAACTGCCTCTATATGTGTTTGTATAAATTAGGAAGCGTCTATAATTGTGGGTTCAAATGTCTTTAGTCTTAGCTGTCCTGCCCCCAGTACTTTCTCCTCTATGATTCCCTCCAATTCCCTGCCACGTTTAACCTTTCCTATCTCACTGTTTTCCTTTTCTCCTTCATAAAACCTGTGCTCTGTTATTTCATTGAAATACCCATAACCCCTCACCAGTTTATTGCCTCCTACAGGGTACTCCAATTTAAACACACATATATAGAGATTCAAAGCTAGCTTCCCCATGAGAAAGAACATGTGGCATTTGTCTTGCTGAGTCTGGGTTACCTCATTCAGAAGGATTATTTCTGGCTCCATCCATTCACCTGTGAATTTCATTTTTCTTCATAGCTGAATTCCACTGTGTATACGAGTCATGTTTTCATTATTCAGTCATCAGTTGTAGGGCATCTAGGTTGTTTCCATTTCCTGGCTATTGTGAATAAAGGAGCAAGGAACATGAATAAGCATGTCTGTGGTGGGATAAAGTCCTTTGGGTATGTGCCCAGAAATAGCGTCTTAGTCAGTGTTCTATTGCTGTGAAGAGACACTGACCACAGCAACTCTTAGAAAAGAAAGCATTTGATTGAGGCTGGCTCACGGTTTCAGAGGTTTAATCCATTATTCCATTATTGTGAAGGTGGGAGCATGATGGCACACAGGCAGACGTGGAGCTAGAGGAGTAGCTGAAGAGTTCTACATCCAGATCTGCAGGTAGAGAGAGGCACTGGCCCTGGCTTGGGCTTTGGAAACCTCAAAGCCTATCCCCAGTGACACGCCTCCTCCAACAAGACCACACCTCTAATCTTTTCAAATAGGGCCACTTCCTGGTGACCAAGCATTCAAATCTATGAGCCTATGGGAGACATTTTTATTCAAACCACCGCAAATGATATAGCTAGATCATATGATAGCTCTATTTTCAGAACCTCCTTGCTGATTTCCATAGTGGCTACACCAGTGTACTTCTTCCATCAACAGTGAGTACGTGTTCCCCTCCCCACACCCAGGCCAACATTTGTTGTCATTTAGTTCATTGATAATGAAACTTTTCTAATTTAGCCATTGCGACTGGGGTAAGATGGAAAGCCAAAGTAGTTTAATTTGCATTTTCCTAATTTTGAACATTTTTAAAAGTGTTATCTGTTTTTCTTCTACTGAGGACTCTGTTCAGTTCCACAGAACATTGGGATGGGGGTGTTTGAGACAGGGTCTCTCTACATATCCCTGGCTGTCCAAGAACCTACTACATAGACCAGGCTGACCTCACACTCACAGAGATCCTCTTGCCTCTACCTTTTGAGTGCTGGGATAAAGGTGTGTACTACCATGCCTTGCCATATAGCATTTTAAAATCAGGTTTCCTGGTGTTTAGTATTTTTTTAACATCATCATATAGTCTAGAAACAAACTCTGTCAGATGTTCACTTAGTGAAGCTTCTTTCCCATCCTGTAGGCTGCCCCTTAATTAAGAGTTTCTTTTGCTGTCTTAGTCACTGCTCTATTGCTATAAGAAGACACCATGACTAAGGCAACTTATAAAAGAAAGCATTTAGTTGGGGCTTGCTCACAGTTTCAGAGTGTGAGTCCATGATCATCATGGTGGGACACATGGTAGGCAGGCATGGCACTGGAACAATAGCTGAGAACTTATGTCTGATTCACAAGATGGAAGCAGGGTGGTTTGTTTGGAGGGAGAGAAAGGAGACAGAGAGACAGAGACTGGGACTGGCATGGGCTTTTGAAACCTCATAACCCACCTCCAGTAACACACCTCCTCCAATAAGGCCACACCTCCTAATCCTTCCTAAAACAGTTCCATGAACTAGGTACCAAGCATTCAAATATATGAGCCTATTGGGCACTGGGGTGGGCATTCTTATTCAAAGCCCTACATTTGCAACACAGAAGCTTTTTAATTTGGCTAGGTCCCATTTGTCTACTATGATTGGCCTTATTCTGGAGA